ATCCAACGCTTCAAGCAAAGACACAAGCCTCCACCAGCAGCTACCACACCCCGTAGTCCAAGGCTTTCATTGTACATAGCCTTCAGTGGTCTCATGTCGCAAAGCCTGCACAGCCAGCAACCCAACAGCAAATCCTCCACATCCCCTCTAGACATTGAAAGCCAAGCCATTCTTGTGAACTCTGTAAGACGTGATGGCTCCAAGAGCTACCAGACCACGTTTCTAATGGCTGCAGAGGAAGGGGGTATGCAGGAGTTGGAGTATTTTAGGAAGGTTGATGATGAATTCAATAAAGTGGACAAGTTTTATAGGTCTAAGGTGGATGAGGTGATGAAGGAAGCTGCTGTGCTCAACAAGCAAATGGATGCTTTCATTGCTTTTCGCATGAAAGTGGAGAATCCGCAGAGGTTGTTCGATTGGTCAGTGGAGATAACTCGTCTTGCTTCCGATGTTGCTGCTTCAACAGCTGCATTGGCAGCTTCCACTCCCCACGGAATCAGCGCACGCAGTAAGTAATGTTGTGCTTATTGTGCTATGTGTATTTTCTGAGCTCATATTGTGCTTGTGTCTAAAACTACGTCGCTTTAATATTATGTTTCGTGTGCAGGGAGGGCAGCCATGGCTATGGATCTGATCGAAGAGAGTGGATCAAATAGCCAGGAGGAACATTCTGGTGATGAAGAAAAAGATGGAACAAAGACTGAGAATGCTAAGACTCAAGAAAAGAAGGCAGAGAGCTTAAGAGGCGCTAGACCTTCGCCACTGGACATACTAAATCATGTGACAATGAATCACAAAGTTGAGACTCCGGTTTCAACCGTTAAAGGCTTCCTCAATGTGCCTCCACAGACAGAGCTCAAGTTCAGCAGAGAAAATCTGAAGAAAGTTGAAGAGCAGCTTAAGGGCGCTTTTATTGAATTTTACCGGAAACTTCAGCTTCTAAAGAGCTATAGGTAAGTTGAAGAGCAGTTTGGTTGGTTTTTTTCTCTTATTTTTCTTTCTTTTACCAGTGTAGCTAATTATTTTTGTTTTTCCATGAATGAAACAGCTTCTTGAATACGTTGGCTTTTTCAAAAATCATGAAAAAATATGATAAGGTATTTCTCAACACCAGAAATTCCTGAAAAAATGTTTGCTATTACATGTTATTAGTAAAATCTTTGTCAGTATTTCATTTGGTCTGTATTACTTTTGCAGATTACTTCAAGAGATACATCAAAATCTTACATGAATATGGTGGATAACTCCTACCTTGGCAGCTCTGACGAGGTGAGAATTCTTCATGCATAATGCTAAAAAGAAAGATTAAACAATTTAAACCTCAAATCTTTCTAAGACGATTGCCACCACTGCAGATCACCAAGCTTATGGAGAGGGTTGAAACTACATTCATAAAGTATTTCTCAAACTCAAATCGCAGAAAAGGAATGGTCGTCTTAAGGCCAAAAACAAAGATAGAAAGACATAGAATAACATTTGCCATGGGTAAGGCCTCTAGCTAAATCAGTATAGTTAAATTTCTTTCACTGAACAAGGACAGTTTTGGTATCAATTTCCTCCCTCTGAATCTGTTTATTTGAAATCTTTAGGTTGCTTTGCCGGATGCACAGCTGCTCTCACATTAACCCTTATTTTGATGGTACGTGCTCACAGTAACAAAGGAAAACCCCAGTACATGGACACCATGTTCCCCCTATACGGGTACTTATTAGGCCTTTGCTTTACTATCTTCTTCCCAAGTTTCCAACCAAAAAATAATACTCAATTTGCTCGACATGTTAAACTTTCTTGCAGCTTGTTTGGATTCATTTTTCTGCACTTGCTTATGTATGCCGGCAACATATACTTTTGGAGGCGATTCAGAGTCAATTACTCTTTCATATTTGGTTTCAAGCAAGGAACTGAGTTGGGCTACAGAGAGGTTCTTCTTCTCAGTTTTGGTCTGGCAGTGCTAGCACTTGCTTCTGTTCTCGCAAATCTTGACATGGAGATGGACCCCAAAACCAAAGATTACAAAGCACTAACCGAACTTCTCCCACTCTTCTTGGTTTTGGTAAGATCATAAATTCAACCATTTCATTTTTACACTTCTAGGATCACATACTGAACTAAATTCTTTTTATGCAGCTTGTAGTTTTGATATTATTATGCCCCTTCAACCTCATATATCGCTCAAGTCGCTACTTCTTCCTCGTTTGTCTGTTTCACTGTATCTGTGCTCCTCTGTATAAGGTAATTAAAGTCAATTTAAGGCACTTTTTGTCTTCTTCTTCAGAGTGAAACTGAATGAACTTAGTTGCATGGTCTAATTATCTGAAAATTTTGCTTCTTTTTCAGGTCACACTCCCGGATTTCTTCTTGGCAGATCAGTTAACTAGCCAGGTCAGTAAAATGATCCTCCCAAGTCCTAAATCACACATTGCAGTCATATTATTTTCCTGTTTTTCTTCTCTCTGTTTGAAATAACTGAGTGTCAATAAATTGTTTTCTTGTAGGTGCAAGCCATTAGAAGTCTGCAATTCTACGTTTGCTATTATGGTTGGGGAGACTACAAACTCAGACAAAACACTTGCAAATCAAACGATGTCTTCAACACTTTCACTTTCATCGTTGCTTGTATTCCGTATTGGTCTCGTCTCCTTCAGGTACACAGCTCATCCCTTCTTTTCTTGCAAATGTCCTCCTAAGAGCTTCATTATCCACCCCAGCCAGACACTTAGAAAAGTTTGCCATTCCATTTTCTTGCAGTGCCTCCGCCGTTTGGTTGAAGAGAAAGATCCCATGCAAGGTTACAATGGGCTGAAATATTTCTTCGCAATAGTAGCCGTTAGCATGAGGACAGCATACAATCTTGAGAGTCTTAAAAATGAAGTGAACTGGAAAATTCTTGCTGGGGTTTTCTCAATTGTTGCAGCAATCTATGGAACATATTGGGATCTTGTTGTGGATTGGGGACTTCTGCAACGCAATTCCAAGAACCGCTGGTTAAGAGACAAACTCTTGATCCCTTACAAAAGTGTATATTTCGGAGCCATGGTGAGTACTAGCTACGTTCTCTTGCCAAACTTATATATGCTTATATTGCAATGTGAAACACACGTTCAGGCAAGAACCAACTTGATCAATTGCAGGTTGTGCTTAGTATTTTCTGACTATTTTGGACAAAACAATGCAGGTGTTGAATGTGTTGCTGAGATTTGCCTGGTTGCAAACTGTTTTGAAATTCGATGTTTCTTTCATGCATACACAAACAATGATTGCGGTTGTGGCCAGCTTGGAAATAATCCGTCGTGGGATATGGAGTTTTTTCAGGTTGGAGAATGAGCATCTGAACAATGTTGGCAAGTACAGGGCGTTCAAGTCAGTGCCATTGCCCTTCAACTATGACGAAGACCAACGCAAACATGAGTAGCCAAAGAAACTACAATTTACAAAGAATGGAAATCAGAATCAGTGTTGGCCTTTTGTGAGGCAACAAGATGCAACCTTCGATTTTTGGAATGGTCTAAATGTTGCGAAATGCGGGTAAATGCACCGTGTGTAAATGTAAAGGCTCGGAATCCTACTTGGAGTAGATTTTGATCAATGCACACAACGAAAGAATTTCCAATTCTCAGACCAAATATATATTTTTTCCCAAATCATTCAATTACACTCTCATTGATTTTTGTTCTTTAATTTCTTTAAAACTCCAAAAAAAAGAGGCAAGGGTCAATAAACACCCATTTCTACGTGTATATGATGTGGTCAAACTTTGAGCTTTTGGAGAGATTAGAAGCTGGGTCTAGTTTAAAACCAATTAAATCTGATTTTTCCAGATTAAATCATCACTAATGGCAATTAATCTTGAGTGCTGCTAAATGAACCCTAAAATTAACTAAGTACACCCTACTATCAAAGTATTTTTTGGATTACTAATTTACCATAATATAAAATGACTAAAAAGGATATCTTGAATTGTGAAACATGACACCACATATTTTTAGGGTGTACTTAGATCATAGGGTGTACTCAGTTAATTTTAGGGTTCGTTTAGCAGCACTTTTTAAACACCATCTAAAACATGACACCACATATTTTTCCCTACACTTCTCTTCTTCTCCATCTTAGCATTTGGACAGCCGAACTCTTTTATCTCTCAAAACCAAGCCTAGCAGAGCCAGTCCTTTCAATCACTCTTCTTCTCCAAACTTATAATTTTTTCATTTTTCTCATCTTTCAATTCAGAAAATTCCCTAAAATATTTGAAGCTCCTTGTAAAAACTTGTTTTCTCCAATTTCCCTCCTCAAAAGTAGCCACACCAATCATATTGGGGCTTATATCAGCAAGCAAGGCAATCAGTTTTTTTTTTTTTTGGGTGGTCATGAATCAAAGATTTCATTGAAAAAAAGACAGAGACTACAGATAGCCTAACCTTGTCAACCCCTGACTAAGAAGGCAATCAGAGTTGTTTTTTGGTTTTAGATATTGGATTCATTAAATAAATAAAAAATTATGAGAACGTTTTTGTATCATTAGTTAGATTTAGGATATATCAAAAGGAACAATATTATCCAGATTGTACAGTTAAAATTTTTGAGAATCAAAGCATGGAGAAAAAGGGATCATAGGGAGATCGATGAATGTTGTTGGTTTTTTTTTTTTGGCAAGATAGAGTGTATTAGAGTGTACTATGGGTATTTTTGGTAGTTAAATAGAGTGTACTTAGTTAATTTTACATTTTAATTTAAATATTAGGGTGCACTTAGATCATAGGGTGTACTCAGTTAATTTTAGGGTTCATTTAGCAGCACTCTTAATCTTTAACCTGTAAGTTTATTTCTTGTAATTGGTTCGCAATGATTTGGGCCTCTAAGGCTGATTTCTGATTTTGGTAAAACAAAGCCCAAGTCACTGTTGTTGACATAGGCCAAAAGTTAGATGGGTTGGTGTGTGGAATTTAAACCCAAACAATGCCCCTTAAGTCTGAATCATTTTGAAACGGTTTCAGACTTAATAATTGGCCAATTAATGGTGCGGGCCAATTTGTTCCGTTAGCTCTAGCCCACGTCTGCCTATTAACTTGGATTTCATGGGCAAGTGGGCATTTAACGACTAGGTAATTTGGGCAACCCCTCTTCTTCCACGATCTTCTTCCTTTATGAGCATATAAGAACTCCTCCACTGTTCACTCGAAACCTAATCTGGTCAATAAAGACCCATTTCGGTTGCCAGGTTATGAAATTGTAGAAGCTCCTGCGTATCAGAACAAGAAAGAAAATAAAAAAAATTATTCAAAATAAATTTCTACGTGAATATGATGTGCTCAGAGTCATTGCATGGCCTTAAACAAAGATGAAGCCAATTACTTTTTCTTATTTAAGAAATTTGGAAAACTGTGAAAAATAATATATTTGGTGATGTGAAGTGGTAGAAAAACTTGTTATATAACGCACGCGTTGATTTGTAAAAGGCAAGTAAAAAACATAAAAGATTAGCCGCCAACAAACGCTCAGTGGCATAAATTATTTGACCCAATTATAAGAGGAAACAGGGACAGAAGCAGCGCACCTTTGAAGATTCTTCAACAATGTCTCCAATGCATTGCCAATTTGCCACTGTCCAGAAACTACGCACCTAAACTATTATATTACTAATACATAATTTTTCTTTATTTAAACTGTCTGAACTTATCACGTAAGTATCGTCTAATTAAACATTGTCACGAAACATTATTAATTAGGTGAACAAAATTTGGTAAACAAATATGAAAAATATAATGGTATCTTTGTCGTTGAATAAGTAAATGTGCCTTGTTTCTAATTGTGAAAGCAGAATATCATTTTTTAAGTAAATATGATTGGACATCATATATATCATGGTAGCTCAAGTTGCATTTTCGAGTGACTTTCCGATCTTTTTTTTT